TCCGTGAAACTCACTCCAAACTGGAACACGGTCCGTGGAACTCACTCCAAACTGGAACACGGTGTTCTCTTGGCATTTGGTGTTTAATGCTCCAGAAAAAATCATCCACGTCATCTCGGCGCTGGAATGATGCCAGATCATAGCCAGCCTGGACCTGGACTCTAACAATGCCACACAAACCAAGAAATTCCTGGGCGATACTTAGGGAAAATCAGAGCTTCACAAAGACCTTCTGCTCCGCTGCATTTGTGATTATATATTTTTTCTGCCACTGACCAGACAAAGTTAGTGACTCACTGTGAATTTTGACGAGAGAAGAATGAGGAAGAGAAGGAATGAGGAGGAGGAGGACTAAGAAGGAGGAATGAGGACGATGAATGAGGAGGAGAATGAGTACCGAGAAGGTGGAATTATTCACTACACAGAAGTGCAAAATGGCAATGATTATGTTCACTTCGAGAATTTTTCTTGGTAACTGAATGCGTACCCACCTAGCCTAGCCTAACCCAACCCATCCTCCAACCCAACCCTAACTAACCTAACCAAATCTAGCCAAGCCTAGACGAACCTAACCCAACCCAATCTCGCCTAACCCAACTCAACCTAGCCTAACCTACCCTATTCTAATGCTAGGGAAGGCTATGGTATACTAGGAAATGCTATTGTATACTTGAGAAGGCTATGGTTTGCTAAGGGAGATTATATGCTAGGGAAATCTATAATGTGCATGGCAAGGCTATGCTGTGATAGGGGAAGGTATGGCATGCTATAAGAGACTATGATGTTATTGGAAAAGCTTTATTTTTTTTTATTATTCAGTTATTACTCTGTCGGTGAACCGACCTACCTGCTGGATTCTTCACCGCTCGGTGAACCTAACAACACAAAACTGACAATTGTTTTGTTATGTTTAACGAGGCATGGGAAGCGTTGCGTGTTTGTCTCGTCCGGACCGTTGCTCGTCACATTAACCGGTTGCCTGAGTTCATGCATTTATTTAACCGGCCAGGAAATTGTTAATTAACCCGCCAGCAGGGTGTTAGTCCCGCCTGGCCGCCTCAGTTTACGCCCGGCATTCGTCGACATTATTGTCATCACCACCACATACCCGTTTTAAACGTGTTTCCCCCCTCGTATTATTTATTAACTTGAGGGGGGGGCTACACAGGAACGCATGGGAGGAGACATAGGGTTAGGTGATGCATGCGGGAGGCACAGGGGTGTGGGGGGACGCATAGGGGGGATAGACGCATGGAAGGGAGACGTAAGGTTGAGGGACGGGGTCTGGCTCTTTTAATTGTGAGCTGGTTTTAACATGGGATAGACAGCTCTTCTCGTAGATTCCATGTTTTGTCAGTTTCTGGGACTAAAAGAATGAGTGCAATGACTTCTTTTTGTATACTTTCTAAACTTGCACAAAACTGGTACGGCATAGTCTGTGGTGGCAGAGCGCACATGTGCTGTGGCAGAGCGCACATGTGCTGTGGCAGAGTGCACATGTGCTGTGGCGGAGCTCACATGTGCTATGAACAGTAAACTAGTCATCTCCGGCGGCAACAATCTGAGTACATCATCATTCTATGTACATGATTTTACACAGAATTTTTACATCATCATTTTGTGTACATTCCCTCCTTTCTCAGTCTCACAACCGTTTCCAGGCCTTGGACCCAGACACGCCCATCACCTCCTCCCCTGCTCCTTTACGTTCTGAACCAAGGGGTCCTTCTCCTCCTGGTTCTCCATCTGGTATTTCCATCCTTTTTTCACAGTCTGTCATGTCTCCTGTGTCTTCTTTCCTGTCTTCTCCCGGTCCTTCTTCCCATCCCCCCCTGTCTCTTGACCTTCCATGCCACCTGTCTATCCAGGCTGATGTCCATCATCCTCCCAGCAATCTTCATGTTGATCGCTCCCGTTCTCCTTCTTCTGAGACCATGGATACTGTCGTCCAGTACGTTGCTACTGGCACACTTGTCTCTTTCAGCCAGAAACGTAAGCCTGGCTTCTCTCCTTCCTCCCCGGCAGGTAAGAAGGAATCACTTTCTTCCCCAGCCTCGACTCTATTACTACATTCCCTCCTATATCGGTGGTCAAGCTCCCTATCCCGGCTATGGAGGTTCCTAGGTGACAGTTTCACAAAGCTGACTGGAATCTATTCACCCTCCATGCAACTCTTTCCGACCTCTCTGCTCTGCCTCTCCCTCGAGCCCTCCTCCTTTTTCATGACACCATATTCGATGCTGCCCTCGTCTCTATTCCTCGTTCTACCTCCCTGGGCATGTGGAAGTGCGTTCCCTGGTAGAATGCGGACTGTGCTCGGGCTGTCCGCTGTAAGCGTGCAGCCTGGAAGAAACACCGACGCCGGCAGACGGCTGATTCTTTAATTTTGTTTCGGAAGGCGAGTGCGGTGGCCCTTAGGATCATCTGTGCAGCTGAGCGTGAGAGTTGGAAATCTTATGTCTCCACCATTACGTCCGATACTTCTTTGCCACAGATCTGGAAGAAAATCCGCAAAATAGCAGGTATGTTTGTTTCAGATGTCTCACCAGTCCTTCACCTCCGTAGTACTCTTGTGGCAGATGCTGTGACGGTCGCAACCGAACTGGGTTCACACTTTTCGATTGTTAGCTCCGGTTCTCATCTTCCTCAGTCCTTCCTTCTTTGTAAGCCCGTTCTTGAATCTCATTCCTTAGATTTCCCCACTCATCTCCGCCTTCCCTATAATGATCCCTTCTCTCTCTCTCTCCGAACTTCAGTCTGCTCTGGCCCTCTGCGGTTCTACCGCAATGGACTCAGATGACATTCATTATGAGATGCTTCGCCATCTTGCTCCATGCGCATTTTAGTATTTACTGAATCTGTATAACCGAGAGTTTGCGTCTGCAAACTCTTTTGAATGTATGGTCAATGTCTGTCTGATGGGGTTCTTGGAACACTATCCCTCTCCTCTCCCCTTCTCAATTTGGTTTTCGCAAGTGCCGCAGTGCGGCTGATGTCATGGTGAACTTGGAGGTCTACATTCGTACTACTTTTGCTGCAAAGACCTCCGTTGTTGTTGTCGTTTTTGACCTGGAAAAGATGTACGACACCTGCCTCCAAAGACTAGCACCTTCACGACAAAACTTTATGCTATTCTCTATGCTATTCGTCAACCGCTTTCTCACTGTCAATCGTCCCTTGTTGTTGTAGTTGACTCTCGCAGTGCCCTCATGGCTCTTGAGTCCTTTAATCCAGTCCATCCAGTGGTAATCGAGATTTATCATTGGCTGTTTTTTACCTCCAGTAGATTTAAGACAGTTGAGTTTTGCTGGGGTCCCAGGCATATTGGTGGGTCTTTAAATGAGCAGGCAACGCACTGCCATTAAGGAAGCTATCCGTACCTGTTTCTTCGCCCGTAAAGGTATTCCATATTCCGACTTTTACCCAGTTATTCATTCCTCTATTATTGCCCATTGGCAGGGTTGTTGGTCTTCTGTTACTGGTAACAAACTGCGTGCTCTTAAGAGTAGTGTGTCCCTGTTGCCTTCCAACTACCACTGTAACCAGCGGTGGAAAAAGGCTCTAGCCGCTATTGGCCATACACACTTAACTCATGGACACTTAATGGAGCGCCACCCTGCTCCTTATTGTTCAAACTGCATTGTCCCTCTTACGGTCATGCATAACCTTAATGAATTTCCTAACTTCCAGGACGTGCGTGTCTTGCTTCCCAACTGTCCCTCGCGGTCACTTGTCCTTCGATAGAATTCTTGGTGAATCGGATACCTTTGATTTCGTTAGCCTTATGCATTTTTGTACTCGTATTGGCATCCTTATTGATATGTAGCGCCCTATGATTATCCCGCACATTTGATGGTGCTACATAGCCTTCCCGGCTTTGTGTCTTCTTTTGATAATTACTTCCTGTGAAGTAGTCTTCAATCCATTTCATGCACACAAGCTCATCTAGGATCCCAAACCCTTGCTCCTTATCGAATTGTCTTTCGATGTCATAAAATACAGCAACCTGTCCTCTTGCAAAAAAAACGTCGCTTTTCACTGGAATGCGTCACATAAGGCCAAACATTTGTCATACTAGAAAATGAAAGTGGCTCACGGAAGTGATGTACTGTCACATTTTCTGTTTTGGGTGCTCTGGTAGGTTAGGAGAGGACACTTTATATTGACCGTTATCTTGACATTGGAAAACCTTAGCAGGACGGGCTGAATACAGAACACTTAGCTGCGTCCTTAGTCAATATGGTGACCGGAGGGAGCCAGGAACTTGACTCTTGCCCAGTTAGTTCTCTCGCTTCACTTCGCTTCACTTCTGGTTATCACCATCTATTTAGTGTGACTCATTTCTTATCCCACATTTTTTGACTGCATGTCTTAGGTATATTACTCAGACTCTCGACACTTACGCCTTGATGGTAACTGAAGGGTCCCCAGTGACTTGCCATCATTACAGGTATATGTGGTAAGAAAAAATGAGTCTTACGATATTGAGGAATAGGGGCGTGTAGGCAGCAAGTGCTCTTGATCCTCACTACAGTCAGACTTGCCACAGTGGGGACGCGGCGGGAGCAGGTTAAACACCCGGGCTGTAACACCACCGCCAGGCCAGGGTGACGGGGCAGGCCACTGCACATCTACGCCCTCAGTCTCGTGGACACATTTCATTATGCTCTATACAAATATTAGCCATCTATAATACACTATAAGATAGCAAAAGCACCATGAGAAACTCAGTGTAGTCCTGCTTGGCCTTTTGCTCGCTTGGACGCCATATATCCCATAATTGGTGAAATATTCACACACTCACCAAGACGACAACAGCAGCTCGGTAGGGAAGGGGGTTATACATAGGGGTTATACATATACATATACACATACACACAGCAATCGCTGGAAACGTGGTCGTACCAACAGTAGAGAGAGAAAAAACGATCGCCGGAAACGTGGTCGCATCAACAGAAAAAACGATCGCTGGAAACGTGGTCGCATCAACACAAAAAACGATCGCTGGAAAGTGGTCGTATCAAAACAAAGGAAGAAAACAGGGGGGTAGACGGACGAGTCAACACAAGTCATTCTCTAACTACAAGGACCGTGTTTGTTGTTGCTACGAGACCTCGCCAACTCTTGGCTCTGGGAGTGAGTGCAGGAAGGTAATCACCACCACACTGCGCATTGTTAAGAAAAATGAAACTGTTAACTCAAGTCAGCAGTTTTATTCAGGGTGTTGTGTTCAGCTCTGCCAGGTGACGCCAACCCTGGGGAGTGCCTCTAGTGCTCAGGTGAGGGCCTCTAAGGATTAGGTGCCTCTGGTGCTCAGGTGAGTGCCTCTGGTGCTCAGGTGAGTGCTTCTGGTGCTCAGGTGAGTGCTTCTGGTGCTCAGGTGAGTGCTTCTGGTGCTCAGGTGAGTACATCTGGTGCTCAGGTGAGGGCTTCTGATACTCAGATGAGTGCCTCTGATACTCAGATGAAGTGCCTCTGATACTCAGATGAGTGCCTCTGATACTCAGATGAAGTGCCTCTGGTACTCAGATGCCTCTGATACTCAGATGAGTGCCTCTCATGCTCAGGTGAGTACTGTGGGGGATTTGACCTGTGAGATTTATATTTATTTAGTTTATATTAATTTATATATTAACTTATATTTGACGTTAATTTATATTTTTCGATAGTAAACTATAATATTTCAAGTGGACTGTATGATTTAAAATGCTCACACATAGCTTTCCTTACACATTCTGAGGGGTTTACGATTTATATATACACATCACAACTCATGCTGGTATAAATCACACCCAAAATAGGGTTTGTACCATTAATTAATGGTGCCAGGTTGTTCAATGTAGTACAACTAGACTATGGTAATAAATGGGACTAGGATGAACAATAATTAGTTCAACAATGGTAATATGGGACTAGTGTAATGTTTTTTTTTTGAGATATATACAAGAGTTGTTACATTCTTGTACATTAAATTCTTGTATATTAAATTGTGATTACATTTTATGTTAAATAATTCTCTATTCAAGAGAAATTATGTACACGATTGGTGTTATTAGCCTCTAAATAACTTCTAGTATTATTTAGAAGTATTAATTCTGTTATTATAGTCACCTTTCGCGAAATTTAACACCACAAATTTAGTGTAAATAAACTCGCGAAAGCGTAATTTAACTGGTTTTAATTTAAGCGTTGTCACTCCGCAGATATAAACGCCGCGGAATTCGAGGGTGTGATCCATGAGGCTGTTGAGGGGGTCGTGAGTTTCTGAAGGATCAACGCTGCCGATCTTATGAGTGGCTAAGGTATGTGTTTATATTGTTCTACTAATTTATTGCACTATTTTTTTTTAATTTAGTAGAGCAGTGTAGTATTTCTGGTTCGTTAAGGAACACTAATCTGGGGAATTGACTTGTGAGAATTTTATTTAGTTTATATTAATTTATATAGTGATTTATATTTACGGTAATTTATATTTTTATATAGCAAATTGTATTGTTTAAAATGGATTGTATGATTTAAAATTCTCACAAATCACTTTCCTTACACATTCTGGGTGGTTTTTGGTTTATTTATGTAGTCGTTAATATAAATTATTGATTAGTATACATTCACTACAATATTAGACTACAGATATTATTAACTAAAATTGGGGGAGGCCTTATCTTTATATAGTGAGCCTGGTCCACCAGTGATGAACATGATCACACCAAATAATCCTGGTTGATGTTGTTGTTGTTAAAGATTCGCTTCTTGGAACAAAGTTCCAAGTAGCACGGGCTATGGTGAGCCCGCAGGATGTATTTAATCCTGGTGGTTGAGGCTGGCATCAGCATTTGTACTGGTGTATTGGGCAACTAGTCTTAATTCTTCTTCCAATTCTTCTTCTAGGGCATCTCCCTAGAGATCAGGGGGTGTCCTAGAGATCAGGGGGGTGTCCTAGAGATCAGGGGGTGTCCTAGAGATCAGGGGGGCCCTAGAGATCAGGGGGGTGTCCTAGAGATCAGGAGGGTGCCCTAGAGATCAGGGAGGGTGTCCTAGAGATCAGGGAGGGTGCCTTAGAGATCAGGGGTGCCCTAGAGATCAAGGGGGTGTCCTAGAGATCAGGGGGTGTCCTAGAGATCAGGGGGGCCCTAGAGATCAGGGGGGTGTCCTAGAGATCAGGGAGGGTGTCCTAGAGATCAGGGAGGGTGCCTTAGAGATCAGGGGGGTGTCCTAGAGATCAGGGGGGTGTCCTAGAGATCAGGGGGGTGTCCCTAGAGATCAGGGGGTGTCCTAGAGATCAGGGGTGTGTCCCTAGAGATCAGGGGTGTGTCCTAGAGATCAGGGGGGTGCCCTAGAGATCAGGGGGGTGTCCTAGAGATCAGGGGGTGTCCCTAGAGATCAGGGGGGTGTCCTAGAGATCAGGGGGGTTTCCTAGAGATCAGGGGGTGTCCTAGAGATCAGTGGGGGTGTCCTAGAGATCAAGGGGGTATCCTAGAGATCAGGGGGGAGCCCTAGAGATCAGGAAGGGTGCCCTAGAGATCAGGGGGGTGTCCTAGAGATCAGGGGGTGCCCTAGAGATCAGGGGGTGTCCTAGAGATCAGGGAGGGTGCCCTAGAGATCAGGAAGGTGTCCTAGAGATCAGGGAGGGTGCCCTAGAGATCAGGGAGGGTGCCCTAGAGATCAGGCGGGTGTCCTAGAGATCAGGGGGTGCCCTAGAGATCAGGGGGTGTCCTAGAGATCAGGGAGGGTGCCCTAGAGATCAGGAAGGGTGCCCTAGAGATCAGGGGGGTGTCCTAGAGATCAGGGGGGTGTCCTAGAGATCAGGGGGTGCCCTAGAGATCAGGGAGGGTGCCCTAGAGATCAGGAAGGTGTCCTAGAGATCAGGGAGGGTGCCCTAGAGATCAGGGGGTGCCCTAGAGATCAGGGGGTGTCCTAGAGATCAGGGAGGGTGCCCTAGAGATCAGGAAGGGTGCCCTAGAGATCAGGGGGTGTCCTAGAGATCAGGGGGGTGTCCTAGAGATCAGGGGGTGCCCTAGAGATCAGGGAGGTGTCCTAGAGATCAGGGAGGGTGCCCTGGAGATCAGGGGGTGTCTTAGAGATCAGGGAGGGTGCCCTAGAGATCAGGAAGGTGTCCTAGAGATCAGGGAGGGTGCCCTAGAGATCAGGGGGTGTCCTAGAGATCAGGGGGGTGTCCCTAGAGATCAGGGGGGGTGCCCTAGAGATCAAGGGGGTGCCCTAGAGATCAGGGGGGTGTCCTAGAGATCAAGGGGGGTGTCCTAGAGATCAGGGGAGTGCCCTAGAGATCATGAAGGGTGCCCTAGAGATCATGAAGGGTGCCCTAGAGATCAGGGGGTGCCCTAGAGATCAGGGGGTGCCCTAGAGATCAGGGGGGTGCCCTAGAGATCAGGGGGTGTCCTAGAGATCAGGGGGGTGTCCCTAGAGATCAGGAAGGGTGCCCTAGAGATCAGGGGGTGCCCTAGAGATCAGGGGGTGCCCTAGAGATCAGGGGGTGCCCTAGAGATCAGGGGGTGCCCTAGAGATCAGGGGGGTCCCTAGAGATCAGGGGGTGCCCTAGAGATCAGGGAGGGTGTCCTAGAGATCAGGGGGTGCCCTAGAGATCAAGGGGGTGTCCCTAGAGATCAGGGGGGTGTCCCTAGAGATCAGGGAGGGTGCCCTAGAGATCAAGGGGGTGCCCTAGAGATCAGGGGGGGTGCCCTAGAGATCAGGGAGGGTGTCCTAGAGATCAGGGGGTGCCCTAGAGATCAAGGGGGTGTCCCTAGAGATCAGGGGGTGTCCCTAGAGATCAGGGAGGGTGCCCTAGAGATCAAGGGGGTGTCCCTAGAGATCAGGGGGGTGTCCCTAGAGATCAGGGGGTGCCCTAGAGATCAGGGGGTGTCCCTAGAGATCAGGGAGGTGCCCTTGAGTATCAGAGGGAGAACTTAGGGATCAGGGGTCGTGCTCAATGGATCGGGCAACTCATCCTCTTGAATTGTTAGTACTTTTTTATAACTATTTGGTCGAAATTATCAATATAACATGATGGACCAGTAGATATTGTACTATTAATTTTATAGAGTCCTTATAAAATAAAGTTGAAACCCAAACTTAAGTATTCTTAGGCTTAGGATACCACATTCAAGTACCATATTAGGCCTAAGATAGCGTATATTAGGCTTAGGACTGCTAGAGGGGGGGGGTTAGGTTAGAAAGTAGCAACATGTAGTGATGCGTGTAAAGAGAAGGATATTTGGATGGATTAGTGTATTAGTGTTTGCTGTTATTGCATTGTTGGAACTGTGGTTGGTGACTTATATTCGTAATCAAGCAGTGGCAGGTACTTTGTCACTTTGCTGCTTGTAGATAGCCTCTGGTGAGCAGTTCTGTCGACTTTGCTAAATTCCATGATTTTTTTGGACTCGGTCAAATTTTCGTAGTTTGTGGACATGGACGAATTTCCTCGTTTTTGGACTTAGTCAAGTTCCTGGTGAGGGGACTTAGACTTTTGAGAGGAAATTCAGACTCTGTCACATTACCAGACTTTGTAACTGTAACGTTTGGAAGACCCAAAATTGACTCTGTTTTTGGTCAAGTCATTGTGGACTTGTACCTTCGTAGAGAAATTGACTTTGTCACTTTTCCAGTCATTGTGAATTTGTGAAGAGTCTAGACTTTGCCATTTGTTGGTCCAGTTGGGACTTAGGTTTTCTGGGGGCAAGTTTAGACTGTCATTTGTCAGTCCTGTGGGAACTTAGGTTTTCTAAAGGCAGGAGAGAGGACTTTTGACTGGATATTGGTGTCCAAACTGAGGCTCTACCCCTCTCTGGTGTTGTGTATCCCTACCCTGGTAGATTGGTTGACCAGTCCAGCAACGAGGAGGCCTGGTCGACGACCGGGCCGCGGGGACGCTAAGCGCCGAAATCACCTCAAGGTAATCTCAAGGAAACCCTCCATGTTTATAACTCTATAGCCAGTCTTAAATTGACTAGTGTATCTACCTGTGTTGTTAGGCGATTGTGGCTTAGTGAGACTAGCTGCTTGACTTGTGCTTTTGTTAATTCGTCACTAGTTGTGGATATGTGTTGTGTATAGAGAGGTGTTATGTATATATTTCGCAACAGTATTGGTTGGATTATTAGGTTGGATTATACCTAGACTCAGTTTACCCCAGATTGATGATTTCTGGAAGGTTCTATGTTTCTAGTGATGATTTGGGGTGTCGTTGGGGTGGGGGGGGCTTTTTGCAGTAATATTCCTGTGCGGGCCCTAAGCCTCTGGCTGGCCCACTGTGCGGGCCCTAAGCCTCTGGCTGGCTCACTGCGCGGGCCCTAAGCCTCTGGCTGGCCCACTGTGCGGGCCCTAAGCCTCTGGCTGGCCCACTAAGTGTTGCTTGTTTCTGTTTTACTTGGGCGGAGTGTGAGTATTTATGACTCGTATAGTCGCTTCAGTAAGATTTTGCCATATGTGTTTAACCTCTTGTGCTCTGTTGATTCCAAGTTGAAATCTTAATGGATTTGTAACGGTGCACTGTGTTAGATAATGTTCCAGTGGTCTGTCGGGCATTTCTCCACAGTGCTGACATTTCCTCTCATCTTCCGGAACCTGTAAGCCTATTTCCCATGCACATGGGTATCCCAGCCTGATGCGATGGAGGTGTACTTCTGTTGTCCTACTTCTCCCTTTCATTATGTGGTGTTTCTTGCCACTTATTTCTGTTTTGTGTGTTTATAATATTTGTATAGTTGAACATCTGTCTCATTCCCTGTCCTGTCTATCCCGCTCCTATTTTCTCTCTCATCCCCTTTCCATTACTCTTATTTCTTTTTCTTCCATTTGATATCTTCTAATTATCTCTCATTTCATCCCATCCCTTATTTCCTCTCTTGATTGATTGATAAAGATTAAGCCACTCAAAAGGTGGCACGGGCATGAATAACCCGTAATTTCTGTTGTTGTTGTTTATAGATTCAGCTACTCGGAACAAGTTCCAAGTAGCACGGGCTATGGTGAGCCCGTAACTTACCTGGCACAGGAGCGGGACAAGTAGCACAGGCTATGGTGAGCCCGTAGTGGACTTACCTGGCACAGGAGCGGGACAAGTAGCACAGGCTATGGTGAGCCCGTAGTGGACTTACCTGGCACAAGAACGGTGCGCCATGGTAATTCCTCTCTCCCACTCGCTTTATACTGCCTCGACTCTCTCCTCTCCGGGCCTGCGTCGACCCACTAGACAAAGGCGGGATTTCCGTGGCGTAGATTCCAGGTGCTCTGAACATTGAAAAATATTCCAACGCCGGGCAAACTTTGCCAGCCAAATTGTTTT